TGTGTTGTCACCACTAGAGCTAAGGAAACCTCTGATTCTGTACTTGTCAGTAACAAATATGACCATGGAATGCATGCTCACACAGGAATCTAAAGATAGGGTGGAGAGAGCCATCTACTACTTGAGCAAGAAAATGCTAGATTACGAAACTCGCTATACTCCGTTGGAGAAAGCTTGACTAGCCTTTGTATGGGCTACCAGGAAGTTGATGCACTACTTGTTAGCTCACTCTGTAATCCTGGTTTCGAGATTAGATCCCATCAAATATCTCTTTGAGAAACCAGCGCGTACGGGTAGGCTGGCTCGTTGGTTGCTTCTTCTATTTGAATTTGATCTCAAATATGCCACCCGCAAGTCGATCAAGGGATGAGCTGTAGCGGAGTTCCTGGCAGACCACCTGGTAGAAGGAAATGAGGTAGTGGAATAATTGTTCCCAGATGAAGACATTCTGTAACTTGAAGTGGAAACTTGGACGATGTACTTCGACGGAGCGTCCAATCAGTACGATTATGAGATAGGTGTGTTGCTGATAGCACCCGACGACTCTCATATACCTTTAGCCTTCAAGCTCTAGTTCAAGGTGTCCAATAATGAAGCAGAATATGAAGTGTGTATTGTTGGTTTAGAACCCGCCTTGGAACTAGCAACAATAAGGCTGGATGTCATCGGGGATTCAAACTTAGTTGTTTCTCAAGAAAACGGAGACTGGAAAGTCAAAGAAGAGAAGATGAAGGTTTACCATCAGACCCTGGATATCCTAATTCCTAGGTTTGAAAAGCTGACATTCACACATCTATTAAGAGAGAACAATAGGTTCGTTGATGCTTTAACAACTCTATCTTCTATGGTAGACATCCCACTTGAACATAAATACACATTGGCTTATGAAACTATTGCTGCAATAGATGAAGTGCAGGACAAAAACCCTTGGTATTACGATATTTGGAACTTTCTAGAAAAAGAAGGTGTATCCACCAGGGGCAAATGCCAAGGACAAATGGGGAATAGGGCGTATGGCCATCCAATTTATCATCTGCAAGAGTAAGGTGTGTAAAAGAGGCCATCTGGGAATGCATAAACTGTGTGCAGAGGAAGAGAAATCGAAGCGCCTTATGGAGGCTATCCACGACGGCGAATGTGGGGCACATATGAACAGTGTGATGCTAGCCAGGAAGATTCTTAGACAAGGCTACTATTGGTCCACTATGGAGGAGGCTCGTATTGGTTTTGTGCGACGATGCCACAAATGTCAAATTCATGCCAATCGCATGAATATTCTGCAAAGCTTTACAACATGACTTTGCCATGGCCTCTCTCAATTTGGGAAATCGACGTTATCGGTGCTGTCTTGCGAAAAGGGTCAAATGGGCATGAATATATCTTGGTGGCGATTGATTACTGTACAAAGTGGGTTGAATGATGTCTATCATAGTACAAAATCATATCACATGAGTTTGAAACAATTCATAAGTGAGTACTTGTCGTATCAAAGTTCACAAATCATAGCCATATGTAGTGCATCCAATAGTGCGACAAAGGGCCCAAAGGCATAACGAAGGGACCACATGGGTCTAACAAAAGGACCATATAGGCCAAGAAAAGGGACTACTTGGGTCAACATCAGAGATCTCTGTGCACATATAATGAAGGGCCATAGTACTGTTACCCCTAGGCGAGGGTCACATAGCAAAGGGCCACGGTATTGTTTTTCCTGGGCGAGGGTCTTATAATGAAGGGCCATGGTATTGGTATCTCTAAGCAAGGGCTACACTAAGGATGCCACAATTAAATTTCAAAAGAGACAATCATTCATTTGTATCAAAATAGCATTTCGAAATGACATTCTTGCAATAACTCAAAAATACATTTTAACATATCTTTACAAAGATACTACTCACAGTGGGCATGACTCGAATGTAACTCCTTGGATGTCCAACCTACACAATGCACATAACCAAACGTATCGAAACACAATGTTATTCCCTTGATCATATTTAACTTCTCTTATTCTTTTTTTCCCAATTAAATCGAATTCTTATTTCACGTATTCTTACTTTACTTATTCTTTCTTGATCAATTACTTAATCAATGACTTATTCTATAACCAATTAATTTAGGTTGGTTCTTAACTTATTAATTCTTAACAAGTCATAATTTTATGCCTAAGAATGCTTAGGAAGAGTCGAGAATGAAAATATGAAAAAGATGTAATTTTTCAAAACATGTTGAAAAGGTCTGATCGCTTAAGCAGACCTTTGATCGCTCGAGCAGATTATGCTGTTTGCAAAAATACTGGATGCCTATTATGTGCGCTTGAGCAGTGACTATATCGCTTGAGCGGTCTGTAGATTGATGTGCGACATTTTGAATCGATCTAGCAATGTTATTGCAGAATCAGTATACCCATCCTTTATGTCCGAGATAGAGTTAACCCCTTGTGCTCTCTTGAATAGCTTCTCCAGTTTATTGACCTTGAGTACAGTTAGGTCAACCTTAAACTAAAATGGAGCCTCAGTTTGATAAACAGGTGCTTTGGAGGCTTGTACTGGGATTGGCTCTGCTGGTGCTGGGATACCCGTGGGAGGTGTATGGGATGCAGAGACTGTAGCCGGCTGTGGTTGCTGTTGTTCTAGCCTGTTTATTACCTCGGGTTGACGGGCCATGACCTCAGCTTGACGGACTGCATCTTATTGTATGGTTTCAACTATCTGCTGCAGATGATGTATCAATTCTTCCATACTAACTGGGGGATACTGCGTCATTGGAATAGGCAAGTGATCTCGTGCTGAAGTAGAAAACTGTCCTTGAACCGAACTGGACACAGGTGAATTGAGGGGTGACTTTTATAAAACTGGACTGGTGAACTCTGCCTGACTCTCATCCGTCTCGTAACCGGTGGGAGTAAAGTAAACACAGGCTGTCCCTAAACAAGATCCCTGGCTTTGCAAAGCCTTCTGACACGGGTCCAGAGCACTTGGGGGATATCCAAACTTTCTGAAGCTATGGTGTTAAATATCTGGCAAAAGGAAATAAACCAAAAGGAAAACAGTAATCAGAAAACCGCACAGCTCCTCAGCTAATAATGTTATCAACACTGATATGATCGAAGCTGTAGGACTGCACTCCACACTGAATTCTGTCCCCAAAACAGATGCCCAACTTGCAACTGTCATGTACATTCCTATACAGTTCACTGTAAAGCACATACTAGTTAAGTGAGAGCCAAAATACCCTTATGAGGGGGGTAGGGTTACCCTGTCCTAGTTTCGTTAGGAACTAGGGTTCACTATTCAAACAAAGCGGCTTTTACGCAATCCTTCATTTCGGGTGAGCATCCTGTCCTAGTTTAGAACAGTCTCTATGGCTTTTCGATATGCAACTGGGTCGAATGGTTAAAAAGGTACCTCAGCAAGACTACCTAATATACCTCTCACACCAAACACCGAGAAGTGAAAGAAGGATCAAACGGTATAGTGGTAGTCTAGATCCAAGGGTTGCGTTCCCAACATGGCGAAGCCTATGACCAGTCAACCTTTTGGCAAGTCTTTTGGGCTAGCCTCCGGCAAATCGTCTAGGAATAACAGATGGCAAACACAGTGACTTAGGTGCACCAATGCAAATGCAATGTAAAGAAACATATAAGTGGAGATAAAATTTCACATCATGAATTTCAAGTCAAGTTCTCTAATTTCCCCAACAGAGTCGCTAGAAACTGTAGCTCGACGTTTCTTCGGAAGACGAATAAGCCTTACAGTATCAAACTCCCGCCGTTCTGAATCTGATCTCACAAGTGCAATTTGAAATAGACAAACACCAAAGAGTCCAAATCTGGCAAATCTTTTGGAAAATCGATTTTGAATCAAATTGCCAAAAATGGACTGCTTTGCTAAATATAGAGTCGCCACCTAAATATTTTTGGAAAAATTTAGGAAACCCATCACTCGTGCCAAAGGCCACGTGTCCGTCATCACCAAGATTGTCTCGGCTCAGGAACTTAGGTACAAGAGGGGAAAGTCATGAATTGAGCACCCCCGCTCGCCCGATCAAAGATCGGCCTCACTACAAGAAATTTCACTTTTGGCGACTAAATTTTTAGTCGCCAAAAGTCAATCTTTAGTCGCCTATAGTCTTTAGCTACTAAATTTTTTGGTCGAAAACTTAGTAGCCAAAGAGTAGTCGGCAAAGCTAATTGGCGACTAAACTTCATTTAGTCGCCAAATGTATTCATTTGCCGACTAAATATTTAGTCGCCAATAGGTTGGAAAATTAATTAAACAATACATTTTTGCCGACCAATTTTTTTGTCGCCAAAAGCCAATAATTTAGTCGCGGAAAAATTTTTAGCTACTAATTTTTTTAGTCGCCTAAAGCAAATATTAGTGTTTTGGCTATTAAAATTTTAGTCGTCTAAAGTCAATATTTTTTGGCCACTAAAATTTTAGTTGGCAAATAGTATTTATTTTGGCTAATAAAAATTTATTTGCCTAAACTTCCACATTTTTTGCTATTAAAAATTTAGTCGCCTAAACTCTCACATTTTTGGCTACTAAATTTTTAGTCGACAAAAGTATTTTTTATTCTTCAGCTTTTGTTTTTAACTACGAAAGATTTTAGTCGCCAAAGGTTTGATTTTCTTTTGGCTACAAAATATTTAGTAGCCAAATGGTTGTTTTTCTTTTGGCTACAAAAAATTTAGTAGCCAAATATTTGATTTTCTTTTGGCTACAAAACTTTTAGTAGCGAAAGGTTTTTTTTTTTTCCCTTTTTTTGGCTACAAAACGTTTAGTCGGCAAAAACATGATATTATGTTTTATTGCAAATATTGTAATGTGTCCATAACCTGTCTGTATTCCATACAACCTGTAATACGTATATAAATAAAATAATACATAAACTATCAATCATTCCACAATCTGCATCCGTATACAAAAAATAAATTACTTTAACTGTCCATGACATACAAACCAACTATTATGCAAGCTAAAATAGTAATTCCATACAAAATATAGAATCATACAAAAAGTAAAGCCCTCCATATACAAAAATTATATTTACTATACCATGTGAAACGACATTTACAAAAGTATTATATTACTTCTATACAAAAGTACAATTTTTTCCCTATACACCAAAATATCTCTGGAAGTCCACGCATCAAAGTCATCTACAAAAAATAAAAAAAATAAAAAAACATTAGAATTGGATCAAAAAATGCCTAACTTCATGAATAAATTTGGCAACAAGTGACAAATAAAAATAAGGGAGAAGCAACCATCCATAATGAATCAATTATCAGTCATTCTGCAGTCTTTCTAAAGTCTTTTGTTATAAGGGACATTGTTAAATGCAGAACAATCATTACTAAATCTTTCATTAGTAACATAAAGCTAATGTAACAATCTTGTATTTGTATGCAACATATATCCAAATTCTGTGGCTAAACCAATATCAAAGCCCAATGTGAATAGAAAGTATTCTTTTTATCAACTTCCTCATTATTTGTTTGCAAAAGGAACTTGAATCATTAGATTCGATATAAAACCATCGCTGCTTATTAATGTATGTCAGTGCCATTTCAGAAAGGATATTAGAACATGTGATAAAAATAATAACAAAAATAAATTTCAATCATAAAAGGAAATATATAGAAATGTATGTTGAGACACGTATAAATGGTTCATCAAAGAAAGAATACTTGATATCTCATGACACACATGGCCTCAGAAACACCATGAGCATGTTTTATACTTGTATGAAAGCTTAAATATAATATAACACACGTGTGTATGTTGAAAAAATTAGCAAGTTTATAACAAGGCGTAAACTGAGTTCATATTGGTTTCTGAATATTTTTTCCATAATTTTCCATTACTATACATCTACAATACATTCCGCCAATTGTCACAAGTCCAATTTGTAATGGGGAAGCTGACCGTGAGAGTCAGACGGAGGTTCGGGGGCTGTTTTGAAGTTTCGCCCCCGAAACACCCTTTTTCGACTAAGTTTTGGGCGTATTCGTCTCTAAATCCAAACCTACGGGTCCGAATAACATTCCGTTAGTTGTTACAAGTCCTATTTGGCATGGTGAAGCTATCCGTGTGAGCCACACAGTTGTTCGGGAACTGTTTTGAATTTTTACCCCCCGAAACGCTCTTTTTCGACCAAGTTTTGGACATATTCGGCTCTAAATCCCAACCTACGGGTCTGAATTACGTTCCGTCAATTTTCAGAAGTCCTATTTGTCATGCGGGACCTGTCCATTGTCATGGTGAAGCTATTCGTTTGAGCCACACGGTCGTTTGGGGGCTGTTTAGAATTTTCGCCCCCGAAACGCCATTTTTCAACTAAGTTTTGGATGTATTCAGCTCTAACTCTCTACTTGCAGGTCCGAAATAAGTTCCGTCATTTCGCACAAGTCCTATTTGTCATGGAGAAGCTATCCGTGCAAGCCACACGGTCGTTCAGGGGCAGTTTTGATTTTTCGCCCCCGAAACGCCCTTTTTCGACTAAGTTTAGGGCATTTTCGGCTCTGACTCCCAACCTACAGGTCCGAATTATGTTCCATCAATTCTCACAAGTCCTATTTGTCATGGTGAAGCTATCTATATGAGACACACGGTCGTTCGGGGGCTGTTTTGATTTTTCGCTCCCGAAACGCCCTTTTTCGACTAAGTTTAGGAGATATTCGGCTCTAACTCCCAACCTACGGGTCCGAATTACGTTCTGTCAATTCTCACAAGTCCTATTTTTCATGGTGAAGCTATCCGTGTGAGCGACATGGTCATTCGGGGCTGTTTTGATTTTTCACCCTAAAACGCCCTTTTTCGACTAAGTTTAGCGCGTATTCAACTCTGACTCCCAACCTACGGGTCCAAATTACGTTCCATCAAGTCTTAAAAGTCCTATTTGTCCTGGTGAAGCTATCCGTACGAGACACATGGTCGTTCGGGCGCTGTTTTGATTTTTCGCCCCCGAAACGCCCTTTTTCGACTAAGTTTAGGGGATATTCGGCTCTAACTCCCAACCTACGGGTCCGAATTACATTCCATCAATTTTCACAGGTCCCATTTTTCATGGTGAAGCTATCTGTGTGAGCGACACGGTCGTTCCGAGACTGTTTTGAATTTTCGCCCCCGAAATGTGCATTTTCGACTAAGTTTTGGACATATTCGGCTCTAACTCCCAACCTATGGATCCGAATTACGTTCCGTCAATTCTAACAAGTCGTATTTGTCATGGCGAAGCAATCTATCTAAGACACACAGTGGTTTAGGGGCTGTTTTGCATTTTTGCCCCTGAAACGCCATTTTTCAACTAAGTTTTGGACGTATTCAGCTCTAACTCTCTACCTACGGGTCCGAATTACGTTTTGTCAGTTCTCACAAGTCCTATTTGTCATGGAGAAGCTATCCGTGTGAGCCATAGGGTTGTTTTGGGGCTGTTTTGATTTTTCGCCCCCGAAACGCCATTTTTCGACTAAGTTTAGGGCGTATTCGGCTCTAACTCCCAACCTACGGGTCCGAATTACGTTCCGTCAATTCTCACAAGTCCTATTTGTCATGGTGAAGCTATCTGTATGGGACACACAGTCGTTCGGGGGTTGTTTTGATTTTTCGCTCACAAAACGCCCTTTTTCGACTAAGTTTAGGGCGTATTCGGCTCTAAATCCCAACCTATGAGTCTGAATTACGTTCCGTCAATTCTCACAAGTCCTATTTGTCATGGTGAAGCTATCCATAAGAGACACACGGTGGTTCGGGGGCTGTTTTGATTTTTCGTCCCCGAAACGCCCTTTTTCGACTAAGTTTAGGGGATATTCGGCTCTAACTCCCAACCTATGGGTCTGAATTACATTCTGTCAATTCTTAGAAGCCCTATTTTTCATGGTGAAGCTATCCGTGTGGGAAACATGATCGTTCAGGGACTGTTCTGAATTTTCGCCCCCGAAATGCCCCTTTTTCGACTAAGTTTTGGACGTATTCGACTCTAACTCCCTACATACGGGTCCGAATTGCATTCCGTCAGTTCTCACAAGTCCTATTTGTCATGGGGAACCTGTCCATGTGACTCATACAGTGGATTGAGGGGTGTTATGAATTTTCACCCCCGAAACGCTCTTTTTCATCTATGTTTAGGGCGTTTTCGGCTCTAACTCCGTACTTACGAGTCCGAATTACATTCTGTCAGTTCTTAGAAGTCCTATTTGTCATGGGGAAACTGTCTGTGTGAGTCACACGATGGTTCGGGGGCTGTTTTGAATTTTCGTCCCCGATATGCCCTTTTTCGACTAAGTTTAGGGTGTATTCGGCTCTAACTCCCTACCTACGGGTCTGAATTACATGCTGTTAGTTCTCACAAGTCCTATTTATCATGGGAAAACTGTCCGTGTGTGTCACACAATGGTTCGGGGGCTACTTTGAATTTTCGCCCCTGAAACACCCTTTTTCGGCCAAGTTTGGTGCGTATTTGGCTCTAACTCCCTATTTATGGGTTCGAATTACATTCCGTCAGTTCTCACAAGTCCTATTTGTCATGGGAGAACTATCCGTGTGAGTCACACGGTGGTTCGGGGGCTGTTATTAATGTTCACCCTGAAAACTCTCTTTTTCGACTTAGTTTAATGCATTTTCGGCTCACACTCCCAAACTACGTGTGCTAATTACATTCCGTCTATTGTCACAGATCCTATTTGTGATGGGGAAGGTGGTTGTGACATCTGTACGGTCGTTCGGGGGCTGATTCTCATTTTCGCCCCCTTAACGCCCTTTTTCGGTTAAGTTTAATGCATTGTTGTCCTATTGGAATCGAAGAGGAAATCATTTTCTTTACTCAAAATTTTTAACTAGCAAAAGGCTTTTCAATGTCAAGATTTTCACTGTGGGGAGTATGTAAACCAATCAAATATAGCAACCATTTGAGTCAAAATCAAAGCCATAAATGCACACCCACAACCATACAAACAACACCAATATCTTTTCCTCGTTAAGAACCTGGATAACATATCTATCCCACAATCCACACCTTAAAGCCTTACCACTACTAGTAGTTCCCACCATCATTTTGTGAGGGCCCAATTCCAATCCACTATCATAGAAAGAAACAAGAAGGCAACATAATTAATATCATATCTTCATACAAAGAAATACAATGAAAATGAATATCCACCAGTCACCCCACATTTGATATTTCTCCCACTTGAAATCGAGCTATTGGGAACCATTGTAACTTTTATTTATTGGGAACCATTTAAATACATGTTCGTCACTAATTGAGATGAATATTACCCACCAAAAATAAATAAATAAAGTGATATGAAATGGAGCTACACATACAGAATTATAGATGTGCTTGTGAATGATGAGTTGAAAAGGACAACTTGAGTTAAGCTACTACAATTTCCCAACCCTGGTGGAATACCACTGCTAAAATAGTTGAAAGACAAGACCAAAGTGTCCATTTGCTTGAAACTACCCAAACCCAATTGAATAGTACCCTCTAGACTATTATTACTAACATCAAGATACATTAGCTCCTCAAGATTATTCAAACTCTCCGGTAAAACCCCAACAAATTGATTATCATTCAAGTAAAGTTCTACCAATTTGGTACAATTTCCTATGGAGGAAGGAATGGTGCTTGACAATTGATTAAAAAATAGAGAGGGACTCACAATTTTGGAAAATAATTGAGGATCAATGCCTTGGATCATGGGAGTTTTTCTAGTGGTGCTAGAGGTACTATCAACACAAAGTGGAGTATACAAGCTGTACATGTCTATGTCATTGTAAGCAACAAAGAACTCATTGAGGGCAACACCACAGTCATTGGACGTATTTGGATCACTGAAGTCGCATTTGCTTTTTACATCCGCATACACACGATCTGATATCACAGCATGGTCCCATGCGTAATCAATCATGCCCTTTTGATCTGTTTCGTCATCCAATAATGCATTCCCTATTTGCATTGTAGTTCATGTGCATGCACAGAATGTTAAATATCTATAATCGTGTTGCTACATTTGTGTTTTATTTGTTAATATTAATGCTAAGAATACATTTGTATGTTATTTGTTAATATTAATGTTAAGAATACACAATTATAACAAAATTTATCACTTAAAGTGCAATGGGACTAAGTTGATATTTATTCTGAACTGAGTTTGATCCCATCCTTTCATTGTATTTTTTATGGATTATTATGTGATCTATTATGTGTTCCTAACAATTACTGGTTTGTTAACTAAAAATAAAAAAAAATAAAAAATAAAAATTGAGACTTAATTTTGTGTTTTAAATGTTTATTAATTTAGAAAGTGAATGTGTACTTAAATAATATAACTATAATGTGCCTCTGCCGCTCTCCTTTCTTTCTTTCTTTCTCCTCCTCACTCTCTTCTGCCACAATGAGCTACTATGCTTATGCTTTCCACAGTTAAACAATAATTTTAACTAGGAACACACTAACAACATTTTAATAGTCAATGAAAATGAAAGAAGTCAACCTTTTAATTCTATTAATGACAGATTAAAGATCCTAGAGCGAAGAAGCTCTTAGCAATCAAGTTTTATCCAAAAGAAAATGAAAAGCTAATTAGCCAAAATGAAAATAGTAAGTACAAGTTGGGACATCACTCACAATAAAACCTTTGAGGTTTATATAGTCATCCTCTGGAGCATTCTTATTATTGTGCAAAATTTGTTTTGCAAGCTGGGGAACATAGTGCCCTAACAAATACAGTAAACATTTAATAAACATAATGCATATACTTACAAAAAAAAATTGTTAATTTCACTTTTCTATAGTAAACACTTCAAAATTTATCTTTAATGCTTAAAATTATAAATACAAACTCAAAATTTATAATGCAACAAGCAATATTTACTTTTATTTTGATATTTTATTTCTATGATCCATATGACATGGATTCAAAGCATTAAAACCCTTCAATAAGAGAACAAATGAAATGAAATAGAGGTTAAAGTCAAAATTCAATATAAAATTACCAAAGCCTCAAGTACACAGCAATTCCCAATACGATAACCAGCCCTAACCCAATCAAGATTGATCTCCTCCCTCCTCCCCTCATTCCCTCTCTCTCTCTCTCTCTATATATATATATATATTACATTTACACACAGATGATCAAACAGTGATACAGGGCCAAAAGATAAAATTTCCTTATAAAAATGTTTAGAATGTAATTGATTATTAAAAGATTAATTTCAGTAAATGGCTTTTTAAGAGATGTTTAAAAATTAAAAATACAATTTATTTAGAGTTATTGTCAGATTTTTAAAAATGATAATATGAGAGTTATTGTTAAAATTTAATTTCAATACTTACTAGGGTTTACTTTTATATTGAAGGGTAGATATGTGTAATCGAGTTCATCTTCCATTATAACTATCAAACAACTCACTCACACTATTTTAATTGACACAATCCCATCATTATGGATGCTTAACATCCATGCCTTGGTAAAATTCTATGCAGATAACAGAAACTTTAAAGAAAAATATCGGAACTTTGAAAAACACATTTCCAATTTTTCTTCTATTATGTTTTTTTTAATCAATCCCAAACTTTTAGACCACATTGGAGTCATCACTGCCCATTGAATTTGTTAAATAAATTGGTAAGGTAGGGTCATGTTTTGCATAATTTGTTAAACAAAAATCTGCTACTGAAACATATATATATATATATATATATATATGGAGAGAAGGAGAGAGAGAGAGAGAAAGCATACGCGAGACGGAGCATCAATGGAGTCTCTTCTCAGCGATGAAGCCTCTGGATCTCGTGGCGATGGTGGTAGATCTGCAAAGATCAGCGGATGAGGGAGAGGCGACGGCGTGAAAAGAGGGCAGCGACACAGGTGGTAGCGGCGGCAGTGGTGATCGTAGCAGTCACAATGGCGATGGCGGAGGATGAAGAGGTGCTCCGGTGCCGGCGAACGTGAGGAGGAGCGGCGGGGGGATGGCGACGCAGCGGGACGACTTCGCCTCTTCATCTTCTCTTCTTCTCTTCACCTACCCCAATATTTTATTGGTGAGGTAGTGATCTCCATCCGTTGGTTCTTCAAGTGATCGACCTTAGCCATTCATTTTATATCCCTTCCCCGACTAAAATATAGGTTTGTCGTTAATTAATTAAGAAGCCGTCAAAAATTCAAAATCTTTCTTTGAAAATGTTAATTACAATTGGCGACTAAACTTTTAGTCGGAAAAAGTTAGCCAAAGGCGACAAAATTAATTTTTTGTCGCTGAAAGTACGTTTTAGTTGCCAAAGAGAAGAAATACTTTTTTTATTTTCTATTCGGCGACTAAATATTTTAGTAGTCAAAAATCAATATACCGTGACTAAATGTTTTTTTGTTGCTGAAAGTAAGATTTTGGCGACTAAAACTTTAGTCGCCAAGGATAAAAAAATAATTTTTTAATTTTCCATTCGGCGACTAAATATTTTAGTAGCCAAAAGTCAATATACAGCGACTAAGTTTTTTTTTTGTCGCAAATTCTGGCATTTTTAGCGACTAAATTTTTTTTTAGTCGCCAATAATGAATATACCCCGACTAAAAAAATTTAGTAGCTAAATATTTTATTTTTGGCGACGAAAAAAAATGTTAGTCACCAATTCCATAACTTTTGGCGACTAAATTTTTTTTAGTCGCCAAAGGTGCATTTTCTACTAATCATGATGCGAATCTTATTTATATCATATGCTCTTGTTTCGGTTATTAGGCTAGCATTACTATGTGATGCATACACACACAAGTATAGATTAATTTGCAAAAATTGGAACACTTGATTCGTGTTTGTCTTTGAAAATTGTTTCGAATATGTACCACTTGAAAAAGTGATCGCATATGAACATTACTCAAATTATTCCACTTCAAGCAATCAGCCTTCATCCACAGGCATTCAAATAGTTTATCATTTAAGCAACTAGCCTCATGACAAGAATGCTGGACATGGCAACAATCACATTCGTGCAATATGCTAAAGCACAAAAGCGCTCACCTAGTTTCCCAAGCCAAAAAGATAAAAAGAGTTAAAAAAATGCATGATCCTAACCAATGCAATATGACTAATGCAACACATGTGATATGCAATCTAAATAGGCTCGGCTACTTAACATAACATGTGAATCAATTTGATAGCATGCAGTCTAAGCACGTATTCAAAGAAACATTAAACTAACAATGCAAGTTAGTATGATGAACTGAGCCTTAATGTATGCAATACAAGTGGATGCAAAGCATGACAGATGCTAAACAAAACATGATACCCTAAACTAACCATCATAAGCTTGTAAATAAAAAGGAAAAAGACGTGGGATTGGAAGACATACACATTATTACAAGTTTACGCCCTCATGCAGGAGGGTCTGAATAAACTAACTAACTAAGCTAATTAACTAGTTATTACAAACTCAAATGAATAAATTAGCTAAGCTACTTAACTAATTATTACAACAACAAATTAATTAACCATTCTAGCTAATTAACTAATTATTACAAGAAAAAATTAAATAACTAATTTGGCTAACTAATTATTTACAATACTTTACAAAATTAACTAGTTACAAAATGGTGGCCTACCCACCACAAAAGGTGGCCTGTTGATCACTGATGACTGGTTTTTCCTGTTGCAGTAGAGAGCAAACAGAGCAAGCACAGGGTATTCTCAAGGGTTGTTTTCACAACTTATCCCTCCTTATCATCAAACAGCTCAAAGGAGTAGTAAATTTGATTCGCAAACCATCAATCGATGCAATTTCATTGCATGATGGCTTATGAATCAAAGTGTGCAAGTTCAATAAATGTAACAAATAAGGACTCCCAAACTCCCTCCCTATCATTAATTGATCAAGGGAAGTGGTTGACAATGACTCTTAAACCGTTTACATCACTAATGAGTATGAAACGATTCAAGACTCAAGGGTTCAATTAACGTCTGATTGAACCCAAACCAAGTTATTATCTTGCACCATTTTTAGTCCTTAATTTTATTACTTCATTTTAATTACCAACGATTCCTTAATAAATTAAGTCTAAAGGTGAGCTTCAAGTCCTCTAATGGAAAGAAGCATTAAACCAAAAGTTGTTTTAGACATGAGAGAAGTTTCATGTTGTTGGTAATGAACCCCCAAAGGGATTAAACCATTAAGCATAAGACCTCAAAATCATGCTTTAAACAAGCAACTAGTTTGAATCAACTTTCAAAACAAAGCAAAAGTCAAGAAAGGAAGAAGGTTGTGGAGGTGATTAAAGATGATCACAAGTATGGAAAGTAATAAATAAGTGCTATCAACTCAAATAGGTTGGTGGGTAAGGGCTAAACCACCAAACCTGTGAGGACAATTACACTACAAGCATGCAATACAAGACTCAAATGCAATGAACACTTAAAAATAGTCCTAAAACAGTGCTAAATAAGTCCTAAAACATGCTGGAATTAAGACAAAGATAGCAAGAACAATGAGCTAAAACATGAAGCATGCTAGACTAGTAAGCAAGACACAAGGAGGGGAGGCTAACCCCTCCAATTTTGGACTTCAAAACATCATTTTAGCCACTAAAAAAGCTCTGAAAATTAGTGTTTAAAAGCTCAAAAAAAGATATTGTAAAAATGGGAAACACAAGGGTATAGGCTAGAGAAGCAAGGTGGAAAGAGAGGTGAACCACCGCTCCACCCTTTAAGGCCTTAAACCACAAGTTTCAGCCCAAAATTGTAGGGCTCAAACAGCTGAAAAACACAGAAAAATAGTAGGAAAACAATAGGAAAATAGCAAACAAAACCAAGGAAACAAGCTAAGCCTTATACCTCTTGAAGAGGAGAGCACTTCCAAGCAACAATTCAATGCAAACACACCCTCAAGAGCTCAAAGAGAGCACAAAGATGGTAAGGTTTGGTTTAGAGTGTATAGGCAAAGGGTCAAGAAATTTGCAAGAGAGGGAA